ACTATGCTACCAGAGCTCCTATATATATATATATATATATATATATATATATATGTATGTATGTATAACATAATGGGGCAAAATAAGATTTAACTTTAAACAATGATGTAGCAACAACCTAACCCAAGTATTTGTATGGAATTTTTATGTTACAAAATACTCACAATATGAAGTTTCTTTAACCATCAGAATATCTCTGTGAGGTAGACAGACACTATCTGCATTTTAAAGATGGAGAAACTGAACTATAAAGGAAGTAATTTTATAAAACCTTACAACAAATTAGCAATGGAATTGAACTTAATATCTGGCTCATCCCTTGATGATTCTTTCCAAATGGGGAGGCAGCCTGTGGATGTGACAATATGGAAGTGAATTACATAAACTAAATGTGTACAATAGCACTTCCATAAATAGGAAGGGAGGGGATGACCTAGGCCATGGCACAGAGGGGAAGGCAAGGAAAGAGTATGGGGGGAAAGTATCATCTTTTTCAAGAGAGCACCCTATTCATCATGAGGCTATTTGAATATTGGTTAAATCATTCAGCAAATTGAGGCAGATCAGCTTGACTTCTGTCATCTTTCCTGGAAATATATGAGTCTGTGATGTTTCCCATTTCCTATGTGTGTTTGTCTTCTCCACGAAAGTGCAAACTTCATGAGGGTCATAGGCTAAAACACATTACAGTGTGAGTCCCTAAAACATTCTTTACCCAGAAAGAATTCACTGAATATTTCAAATTGGTCAAAAAGCTACCCACCTATTGGTGACAGTATGGTTAGGAACATGTGGCTTGAAGTCAGAGGAGTTGTGTCTGAATCCAAGCTCTGGCAGTGACTAGCTGTACAACTAACTTTGTGCAAGTTCATCTCTGTGAGCCACATTGTCATCTGTAAACAGGGTGACAGTCCATAATTTGTAGTGAAGATTAAGTGAGTTGTTTGTAAATGCTTAGCAGAATACCTGATGTGTGGCATGCATTCAAAAAAAATCTACACTACTGCAACCTATTGATACTTCAAGTTCAAAAAAATACAGGAGCTAAATTCTGAATATCTGTAGATTTGGGGAAGGGTAGCTTTGATTGGTTCTCAAAAATAAAATGAGATGCTGAAAGACGCTTGAAGAAAATCACCTAAAATATACTTTTAAAACAAACTTTTAATTTATCCCACATGCCATTTGAAATAGAGTAATAGAACAAAGAAGAAAAAAACATAGATGCTATGTGATTTACTATCAACACAAACAATCATAAACAAAATCAGTTTATAGACACAAGCCTCTCACTGAAAAACCTTTGTGGCGCATCACGATTTACAGGAAGGAAGAGAGAAGATCTGAGGTTTGATAAGCCACAGAGGGTGTGTTCCAAAGGAAGGATATGTGCAATATTCTTTTTTGAGTAATTTTCTTTGCTCCTAGAAAGAAACAATTTCATTCTCATAAATATTACTTTTCTCAAAGGTCAGCCGACTTATTTTCCAATATGCACTTCTTCTTAGATCTTTAATGTTTCCATATATATTCTCAGACCCTAATTGCTCACTTGCACAGACAAAATAAATGCAATGATTGTTGTTGTTGTGAGTTGCCTTCGAGTCAGCTCCAACTCAGGACAACTTTATCTACATATAACAGAACAAAACGTGACCTGGTCCCCCACCAGGTCCATCTTCATACATCAAAGTGAGAAAAATAAAAAGAGAGTACTAATTCCTGAAAAGGAAAATAATACATACTAATCCCTATCGTGCAGAGGGTGGTTTTTGTGAAAGAAAGCTAGATCCAACCAGTTGAAACTTGTCCGTCCAAAAGTAGCAGAAAAATGAACAATCACAGGGCAATTACCCACACATAAATTTGGAAGAGAATTTGATACCAAAATAAGGGAATTAAACTACTCCACTGATTACATCCCCTTTTGTCTTTAGTATTCATAAGAGTCAATTTACAGAGCCTGAAAACTTTTAAGTAACACTTTGAATTTGAGTTTACAGCCCAGAGGCTCAAGCACAGGAATGCAGGTCAAGCTTCTTTGACACAATTAGATCCACCAGCAGGTTGAAGCCATAGACGATGGTTCAGAGAACATCCTCCATTTCTCCTTTGCTTCCTTCAGCATCCAGGCTAAATTCTAATGGCCTAGAAGACTCCTTCACTGGAATATCATCTCCCTGGTTCCCATTAGCTTCCTTGGCCTCTTCATGGATTGAGTGTGGCGGGCAGTCTTGCTCCGAGTTACTCCAGACAAAGCCGGGTAAAGTCACTTGGTTGTCGGGCTGTCTGTTGACAGTCTTGGGCACTTTGCCAGAGATGAGCACCATGCGAGTGCTGGCCGCCATCTGCGACTGGCTGCTGGTGCTGTGAGTCATGGTAGTGATTGCTGAGCCGTACCTGTGGCTGCCACATGGGGGCGCCTTTTCCCAGTCGATAGACAAATTCCATCGACTCCACATCTTCTTCACTTCAGATTGAACCTAATCCACAAAAAGCACAGTGCATATTAGAACTAATGAGGGAAACCCTGAAACCTTGTTATAAGAAGATTTACTCCAGTTTCAATTTTATTAACTGTCTTGAATTTACCCCCAACTCATGGCCACACTCTGTACAATGGAACAAAACACTACCCAGTTCTGCGCCGTCCCTGTGATTGAGTGCAGATCTGATCATTGTGATCCACATGATTTTTATGGAATGAGTTTTCAGACGTAGATCACCAGGCTGGGTGGACAGGCTGAGCAATCAGGTGTGTCTAAGCAGGGGAGAGTGTCCCCATGACCATGGATAGGGTTAGCAGACAATGTTTCTACATGCATATTTGTATGCGCTGTAAGAATGTCTGAGTGTGTAGTGTAGCTGACAAGGTGCAAGGTTGTGTTGGCTTCTTGGCCACAGCCAGCTACCCTGAGGGGTTGAGTAGTTGGACCTGCGGGCTCGGGACCATGGTTGCAGGGGACATCAACCTCAATTGGCATAAAAAAACATTGTTCCACATCCTACTTTGGTGAGTAGTGACTGTGGTCTTAAAAGCTTAGAAGCGGCCATCTACATGCAACGATGGGTCTATCCTCATCCACAGCAAAGAAGACTGAAGAAAACCAAAGATGCATGGAAACAATTAGTCCAAGGAACTGGTAGACCATGCAATCCTCAGAATATATGAGTATGAGACCAGAAGAACTAGATGGTGCCTGGTTACCACTGACAAGCCTCAGAGGAAAATCGGTACAAGAGATCCTGAATAGAGTGGGAGAACAATATGGAACAAAACTTAAAATCGTTTTTTTTAAAAAAGACCAAGTTTGCTGGTCTGATAGAGCCTGGTGAGACCCCTGAGACTATGGCCCCTAGCTACCCTTCAGGTCTGGAACCGAACTCACTCCTGTGACTTCCAGCCAAACAGTAGACAGGCATATGGGGTGAACATTTACATCATGTAGATACACTGCTTGGAGCCATCAATCATGCGAGAATAGAAGGGCAGTGTTTGCACAGGGAAACAGCTCTGTGGGTGGGGGGAGTGCGTGGGAGGGAAGGACACAGGGAAGAGGTAACTACAGGGGGAAGTGGGAAGAGAGCTGTTACATTGAGGGGATTGCAGTCAATGTCGTGAGACAAAATGTGTATGTACTGCTGTATGGAAAAAGAATTTGCCCTGTAAACTTTCACCCAAATTACAATAACTTAAAAAAAAAAAAAAAAAAAGTAGCTCACCAGGCCTTTCTTCCCAGTCTGTCTTAGTGTGAAAACTCAGCAGAATCTTGTTCGGCATCATGGCAACACATGTGCCCCCACTGACAGATGAGTGGTGGCTGTGTATGACATCGTGTAGTTTAAAAAATATCTCATCAAAATGTTCTAATGAATTTGGGCCAAAGAAACTTATATTTGAGTTTCCCATACAACTTGAAATTGGATCCAAGTTAAAAGTATTAACTGGAATATGAAGTCTACTGTCTTTTCAACTATCACTTGTATAGTTGAACTATACAACTTGTTCAACTTGTATTCCAACAAGTTGTTTCGTATCAGGGATTTGGCAAATGAGTTAACATGTGAAAGTGCCAGAAGATATGAACCTTTATTAATTTACATTAATTCTTGCTTTCTCAAGATAATCTATGAGTAAAGCATCTAAGTTCTCTCCTGTATCTGCTGGAGATTCTAAAGAGATTTAAGTCACATTGCTATGGTCATTTGCAAGCTTACGCAGGGAGCAGACTTATGGGATGTCTGCGCTTCCTTCTAACCTACCTCTCCATTGCAGTAGCAGTAGATGATAGACACAAAGAAACCCTAAGAATAGAAAAGCAGAAGGTTAGCCCAGCTGACAATTCATGAAGCTCACAGCGCTAAAGTGTCTCATATCTAAGTGAATAAATTGAAAACTGTTTTTTTATTTTTCATTATCCTTTCAAAAAATAAAAATTATTCTCTTCTCAGGTTTTCAAATCCTTACATTTATATTAAATTGCTTTCTATCTCCCCTTGGTGTCAGTTGAACAAAACAAGTAACTGAATAAAACACCCTAAGACACACAGAGAGCTGATTTCTATTATATTAGTTTCATTGATGTTGCCACTCAAGGATCATGTCGCATCCTTTGGTTGGTTGGTAAGAGGTATTTAAAAAATGTTGGTAATAGATATTTATAAACTGTGAATGCTGGAAATGTCAGACATTAGATGGTAAGACCACAAAGAAACAATTTTATCATTCATTCAAAAACACTTACTGAAAAGATCATTACACTCATAGCTGTTCAGAGTTACAGAGATAATCAGTGAAAACACAACAGACAAGGTGCCTAGATTCATGGCGTTCACATTCTAGACAGGAGGAGAGGCAGATAAAACATAAACAGACACCAACACGAGAAAATGTAAGACAATAATGGCTGTGCAGGCAGTTCAAATAAGTGATGTGCAAGAGCACAAGTGTGATACTAGATGGGGAACTCGGCCATCCAGATACTCTCTGAGATGGTGACATTTGGGCTTGTTTGAATGACTCAAAGAAAGCAGCCATATAACAGGAGGGGGAAGAACACTCCAGGTAGAAGGACCAGTGAGTGTGAGCCTCTGAGGCAGAAATGAGCTTGGCATCTTCGAGGAACAGAAAAGCCCATAGAAGGTATGGAATTTAGTGGGCAACAGGAAGTTGTGGGGTGATATGAGGGTGTAAACTGGGTACCAGCATTTGGGTTTTATTCAGAGTGTAATGGAAATTCCATGGATATTTTTGGCAGGTAAGCACCATGATCAAATCCATATATTTAAGATTCTTCAGACTTGTGTATAGAGAATAGATTTAAGGTTGCAGAGGGTGGCAGCAAATGACCAATCAGGAAGAAGAGTTAGGAGGTGTCTGTAGCTATCCAGGGAAGCTCTGGTGGCATAGTGCCTAAGGCATTTGACTGCTAACCAGATGGTTGGTGGTTCAAACCCACCAGCCACTCCTCGGAAGGAAGGAAGGTTGGGCAATCTACTTCGCAGTGATACTGCCTCGGAAACCCAAGGAGGGGTCGCTGTGAGTCGGATCCGACTCCACGGCAGTGAGTTCGGTTTGGTTCGGTAGCTATCCACGTGAGAAATGAGATACGAAGCATGAGAGCAGCCGCAGCCTCTGTTTCTCTTCCATTCCCTTTTTCTCTCTTCGCTGCCTTCCCCTTCTTCCCCTTTGGTTTATTTCCCCCGCACCCAGAGAAAGTGTTACATATTTCACAACAACACGCTTTCCTGTCTCACCACCCAGGCTTGTTTGCGAGCCGCCCTGCTGCAGTCAGAGGATTAGCCTGACCGCTGTAGATGGAAGAGCACAGGCACCAGAGAGTAGCATCCTTCCAAGACTCTCCGGGCCTGGAGCTTCAAAGCCAGACGAAAGAGGCAGAGAAAGAGGTTGCGCAAGAAAAACCAAAATACAAGAGCCGAGCCGGTAGAGGGCGCGCTTTACCTGAAAGGAGTTGAAGAAGAGCTCACAGTGCATGCGGATCTCCCACCCGAGCCCAGTGAAGGAGTGAGGCAGGCACACGAACACGATGTAATGCACGCCGAAGACCAGCACCAGGACGAGCGTGGACTTGGCGAGCTTCCTGAAAGAGAGTGGCAACTCTTTTCAGAAATCAGCTCCAGGCCCTGCGAGGAGCTCAGGAGGCACTGACTGCTAAGCGACTGGCTGCTGATGGAAAGGTTGGTGGTTCAAACCCACCCAGAGGCTGTGCTGGGGAGGGACCTGGAGATCAGCTCTTGTAAAGATTTAAAAACCCACTGCTTATGAGTGAATTACAATTCCTGGCAACTCTACCAGACAGGGTAGACTTGCCCCACAGGTTTCCAAGGCTGTTTAATCTTTACAGAAGCAGACAATCACGTCTTTCTCCCATGTGGGTTCAGTAGACAACCTTTGGGTTAGTAGCCGAAGGCTTAACGCCTGCACCACCAGGGCTCCTTCCGCATGAAGATGACAGCCGAGGTAACCCCACGGAGCACCTGACAACAGCATTAGGCCGCAGCTTCTGGGACAAAGGAAGCCTGGGAGCGCTAACAAGGGCTGGCTTTTCCTGTCTCTTTGGAACCTACCACTCTGCTCGGGTCTCTTTTTAGTTTCTCTCTTTATTTCCTGACACTTTGATACTAAATCAGGTAGTTTATTCTCACTTCTCAGCACTTGGCTGCTAACCAGAAGGATGGTGGTTTAACTTACCCAACAGTTTCATTGGAGAAAATCTGGCGATCTGCTTCCATGAACCTTGCCACCAAGGAACCCTGTGGGCCCGTTCTGCTGTGTCACATGGGGCTGCTGTGAGTGGGAAATGACTCCACAGCACCTGACAGCAGCAGTTCTCTGTGGAGTCCCGCAATGGTACACATAGTTCATGCTCCCAGTGACATAAAGGTTGACAGGTCAAGTCCACCCCCAAGGTGCCGCAGAAGAAAAGCATGGTCATCTACTTCCAAAACTCCAACCATGGAAAACCCTATGGATTCTGTGGCTTCCAGCCAAACAACAGACAGGCATATAGGGTGAACATTTAGAGCAGGTAGATATACTCCTTAGAATTGTCAATCATGGAAAAAAAAAAACAGAAGGGCAGTGTTTGCACAGGAGATAACTCAGGGGGCAGGAATGTATAGGAAAGAAGGACACAGGGAAGAAGTAACTACAGAGAGGAAATGGGAAGAAAGCTATTACGTTGTGGGAAATTGCAGTCAATGTTCATGAAATAAAATGTGTAGGAACTGCTGTATGGAAAATGACTTTGCTCTGTAAACTTTCACCCAAATCACAATAAAAATTAAAAAAAAAAAAAAATCTCTATGGAGCACAGTTCTACTCTGACAGCCATGAGGTCACCATGAGTAGGACTGGCTGCAACTGGGAAAAGGTCTCTCTAGTCTCTTTTCCAGGAGCTCTGGTAGCATAGTGGCTAAGACACTTGCCTGCTAACCAGACGGCTGGCGGTTCAAACCCACCAGCCACTCCTCAGAAGGAAGGTTGGGCAATCCTACTTCCGTAGTGATACTGCCTCGGAAACCCAAGGAGGGGTCGCTATGAGTCGGGGCCGACTCGACGGCACATAACAACAACAACACAACAGTCTCTTTTCCATTCTTCTCATTTAAAGGATATTGCTTTCATAACTCTAAAACTCACTGCCGTCCAATCAATTCGACTCATAGTGACCCCTCCTTGGGTTTCCGAGGCGGTATCACTACAGAAATAGATTGTCCAATCTTCCTTCTGAGGAGTGGCTGGTGGGCTTGAACCGCCAGCCTTCTGGTTAGCAGTCAAATGCCTTAGGCACTACACCACCAGAGCTCCTTACGACTCTAGACTTGTAATTGATCAGTAAAGACTGAATGCAATTCTGGGCACCAGATTATTTAAACTTTCTTCTGAATTCTGAATAGTAAAAGATGTCACTCCTGGATAAATGATTCTTGATTATTCCCAGAGAGTTAATCCCCTGTGGATTATATTGTCTGTTCCATTTACTCCCTCTCTTATTTTTATCCCTCGAGATAATCTGCCTTTGTTTCTCTGGTTTCTCAAATTTCTCTGGCAAATTTTCACCAAAGCTGCATGTTCACATCATTCAGAACCTAAGAAATAAGTAGATTTCAAACACCATTGTGCTTTTTCCTTTTATGAAGAAAAACAAGTCTATTTGCATCTTTCATTGTTCCATCACCCATTGGTGCGTGTTGTCAATGACGGGCTGTGAGATAAGACAAGCTGTGTACAGAATAGGCTCTTCATTGTAAACTCTTACACACGGTTTATTTGATAATACTGGCACTTGAAGCATGCTGCAAATAACTAGAGCCAGCAGCTGCCAGCTTGTTCATATGGCGCTTAGTATCTAGACTCCAGCCCATACCTGTAGCTTTTCCTGCCCAAACAGTGGAGGAGAATGATTCAACAAAGGACTGAGAGGACACCTGTGAGAGAGGGCTGAAATGCTGATTGTGATTTCCTTCTCTCTGAATCTGAGACAGAATTCGTAGCAGTGAGAGGCAGAAAGAAATGGTGACCTGCACAACTCTATGTGACACCGTCACTCCGAATTTCGGAAATGATCACTGGCAGCAATGGACACACTTTTAAAATATTTTGATAGTGACCTCAAACGTTCGATTTGCCCTTTTCTTCATCAAAGACTGAATAATAACAGACCTCCCTCAATCAGCACACTTGAAACTTGTTAAAAAAACGTATATTTGCTAGGTACCAATTTCATAAAAAGATTGAGAATGATATAGCAAATCCCTTTTCTTAAATTTATGACATATTACTTCAAAATGCAGATAAAATTGCCTGCCAAAATTATCAACAAGAGATTTTCTGTGGGATAAAATGGTTTATGGGAAAATCCCAATCTGCTAAGTACAGATAAAGTAAATATACATAGCATTTAAGCACATTGGAAAGGGTTGGGATTATGTTTTCACAAAATACATTTATTTTTCAGATAAATCACACTGAACCAAATATACACATTCACAAATTTAACCTCGTAGAGATATTTCAGATTAACCAGTATCTGTTTCTTTACACTAAATAGTAAAAAAAAAAAAAAAATTCTGATGGACACCCGTCCTAGAATTACCTGTATTGCTTTCTTGTGTCATGCCCAACTGCATTGGTCTCCCAAATTTTGGTAGCCAGAACTCTAACTGTATTCAGAAAAAGAATGAAATTCAGCTGAAAGAGAAGATAATATGACAAAGAATTGTCATGTTAGTCTTCAAGATGTTTCATTAAAATGTACATTAATTGAACTTTCTTATATTTAAGGATTGAAGTTTTCTCATTCCATAAATGTGAATGAGGGAATCTGAAATGAGATGTTGGAAAGCTAGTGATTCTTGATTTGTCCTCATGAAAGCAACAAAAAGATGGAAAGTTTCAATATCCCTGCATACAAATACCCAAGGATGATCTGCCAGAATCCACAGAGAATTTCCAAGCCAAAATTGAGATATAGCCCTATGGCAGACTGGGAGGACAAAGGATAATAGTTACTCTATAAATGTAACATACCACCCTGCTCTGAAATGAAATCCCAGATTCTCTCTCTATTTTAGAGAGACCAATCATAGAGTTGTTTGGAGGATGCTGAATGTCCTATGATGTATGAAAGGTTGGGGGCAGAGTGTTCACCTTTAAAAAGGTGAGTAAGCTGCTAAGTGAGAAAGGCCCACTGATACACCATTAAATTGGACTTGGAGCTTTAGTCTTGTGGGCATTATTGAAATAATCACAGCCCAGCTTTCAAAAGATGTGGAGGGAAGATGTTGGTGGGATGAGGCCTCTTGTGTCAGAAGGCCTCAATGACCAGTGAAGAGACCTTCATCTGGATCTTCAGGAAGTGGAATCCATTAGGTCCTCTCCTTCATGTCTGCAGTCCAGAAAGTGCTAGTACTCAAGAACAATGGAAATGTGGGTTGCCAAGAGAGGGCACTGTGTCAAGGCCAGAGCAGGGCCAGAGGAGAGGAGCCATCAAGTTCTTTATTCCTGGGCATATCTTGTATTGTAGAGTTGTCAATATTGTCTCCAAATGGGAGAATCTGTGCCAGGCTGATGCACTCCCCAGACCAGCTGACCCTCTGCATTGGTCAGTAACCCCACGGGCTCTCTCTGCCACTCTACCATTGACTACACCGTAGAACGCTTACACTGATTTCCCAGAAACTGAGGGCTTGTCTTTAGCCCCAAACCTGAGGGAAGGACAGAGGTCTGCTGTGAGCTGATGAAAGAAGAAGAAAACGTTTTCCAGGCTAATAATAGTTGCCATTTCATGACCACTCCCTAATTTAAATCATTACGTAAATATGGGGCAGGCATTTTTATCATGCCCATTTATTATGGATGATGAAATTCCAATTCAAACTGAGGTGACCTAGGCTATGCAGCTATCAGCGGGAGTTTGAACCAGGTCTGTATGATGCCCTGTTAACATTCTTGACCACTATGCTACATGTTCTGTCCAGGAGGATAATAAAACATGAGAGTAGAGAATTTCCATCCATCTTCACCCAGGACAAACTCAGCTCGCAAACACAGAATCTTTGTTAATAAGAGGGTGAGAAGTTGATCATTTATGCCACAGGTGCTGCTTTCTGAACAGCCAAATGCATTTCACCCCCATTAGTTCCTCTCCCATAAAGCAAGCAAAAATCCTTACAACTGGACCAATAAGAAATATCATGATAAATAGAAAAGACTGAAATGGTCGAGGATTTCATTTTATTTGGATCCACAAACAACACCCATGGAAGCAACAGTCAAGAAATGAAACGACATATTGTATTGGGCAAATCTGCCACAAAAGACATCTTTAACAGGTTAAAGGGCAAAGAAGTCACTTTGATGACTTCAGTGTGCCTGACCCAAGGCATGATATTTTCAGTCGCCTCATATGCATGCAAAACCTGGATCAATAAGAATTAATTAATTTCAATTAAGGGGTTGGTAAAGAATACTGAATATGCCATGGACTGCCAGAAGAACATATCTATACATCTCTCTTGGAATAAGTACAGCAAGAATGCTCCTTAGAAACAAGTATGACAAGACTTCATGTCATGTACTCTGGACATGTTATCAGGAGGAACCAGTCCCTAGAGAAGGACATCATCCTGGGTAGAGAGTCAGCAAAACAGAAGAAGACCCTCCACAAGACGGATCGACACAACGGCTGCAACACTGGGCTCAAACGTAGCAACGATTGTGAGGATGGTGTAGGACAGGGTGGTGTCTCACTCTGTTGTACGTGGGGTTATGAATTGGAAACAACTCAGCAGCATCTAACCACAGTCCCTCTCTCCCTGAGACTAGAGTCCCTGGCTATTTGATGCAGTTGGGTATGAACATAGTGGGGAGTGATGCTGTGTAACTACTGTGTGAAGTCGGAAGGGGAAAGGAGCTGAAGGAGGCAGAGCCGGGGGAGCAATGCCAGCTGGGCCATTGCCATGATTTGTCATCCTCTGTTCCTGGAAAAGGAAGAATCATAGATGGCTTCTAATGGGCCAACCTTAAGCTCCACCCCCTAGTAAAAGGCCCCAGACCAGGGATTCCATCCTTGGGTCAACAGGGGCTACACCGAACAAGTACTGCAAAGCCCCAGACATTTGACCTGATATAATACACCAACCAGTCCATCAGTTTTAATAACTGAGAAGAGGTATTTAAGAGTAACCAGGTAGATTATGGAAAGAATTAGGGGAAAACTAAGAGTGAGTAGAACTTGCTGCCCTAAATGATAGGTAAACAAAATAGACATTCATACATACACAGACATTGAATTTCCAAATAATTATTCTGTGTGAACAAAGGCAGAAAACATATATCAAAACTTACGAAATTTAAATATATGCAGTTATTGTATGTCACTTACAACTCAAGAAAGCTCTTAAAAATGTTTGCTTTGTGTTCTCAAAATAATTTAGGAAGATGTAGGCTATAGGTTAATTAGAAACTAAGAGTTATGGACAGCTCTTTCTCCGGTTTCAAACTGAATGTAACTTTTTTCAGCTGTCCTGACCTCAGCCCTGTCTAGCACCTTTCACTTTTAAATGCTTGCCTCATTCACTGTGCTCATGCAGTGAGGAGAAACTGGTATCTGTCTCCTCATTATCTTATCTCTATCACTTTACACAGGGCCTGCTGCCTTTTAGTGTTTGGTCAGAATTTGTTAAATGAGACAGGAAGTGAATGAACAAATGAATGAAAGCAGGCATGAATGAGATCAGGATTCTCTAAACACTGCTTATATTGGCAGTGGCATCAGTAAGAGGACACAGGGTACGCAGACCACAGTGGGTGTCACTGTCAGAGGGAGTGACACCAAAATGACTGTCTATAAAATTTTTGTAGAGTATTTCAGCAGCGCTTTATTATTTTTTATAAACATATCCCTGGAGTTAGTTTTGACAACAAAAACATTTTCCATAAGCCCAGTTTACAGGTAGAAATATACCTACAAGGCTAAAATTCTATGCTGATTTACTTTTTGGAATTTCTAACGTACTCCAGTAAGCAATGTCATTATTACCCAATTAGAGTGACACTTCAAATCAAGTGGTTTTCTCTGTACACTCTACAAGCACATGCTATTGTTTTCATTGCTGCTCGTGTTCTTACAGTCACTAGTTTTGTCAAATTTTCTAGTGTTTTAGCTACGGTATTATGGTAATTAGTATTTGTGGACCTATATCAATAACATTTTTAAGAAGGAAGTAGTAATTAAAGGAAAAGGAGAAAAAAAAATTAAATCCACTGAATTACTAATAATGTTGTCACTAATGTTGTAATTCAATACAAAAAGATTGTACAAAATATTTTTTTAGTATTTATATAATCTAAGAGATACTAAATTTTAAAAATGTACAACTATATTTATCACATGTTATTCTATGATTAAAATTGATAGTAAACAGTACTAAGGATTCTGTATGGTCTGGTATGGGACTAGATCCATGGCAGGGAGCAGGAGGTGGGTGTGACACCAACCCTTGTGAACCCACTGATCTGAGCTCTGACTGTCTGGTTTCTTTTTTTAATCATGGAGAATCTATAGAGACTCTAATAGTAATGGAACCTGATGGGTAAAAAGAGATAAGGGGACAAAAGATGTACTATAATTTGGCAGACTAATTTTCCCCTTGTCACGCAAACTGTGATTACATATCCTTACCATAATTTTGCCAACTGAATTTAGAATCTTTGCTCACATAACAATGAATTGATATCAATTTGCTGCTTTTTTGTTTTTTTATTAAGAAATGCCCAATTTTTGTTTTCCCACAATCTCACATAAGTGTTTAAAAGAAGGCAAGTATTAATTGTTAAAGGCTGACCAGAAGTCCCTACTAGGTACTACCTACTGAGTTATTTTTATAATTCTAGTCTTATTAATAATAGTAAAAAGAAGGTACACTTATTGAGAGTTTACTGTGTGTCAGGGACTGTTCTAAGTGCTTTGCATGTATCAAATTATATAATCCTCATGAGAACCCAGTTAGGTAGATGCCATTTCTATCCCCATTTTATAGATGTGGAAATAGTTTCAGAAATGTTCAATTAATTCTCTAAATTCAAATAGCTAGTGAAAATGGGGGTTTAAATTCAGGCCTTCCTGACCCCCAACTCCATGTACAGAAGCAGACTGTCTCATCTTTCTCCTGTGGAGCAGCTGGTGGGTTCAAACCACTGACCTTTTGGTTAGCAGCCAAATGCCTTAAACACAGTGCCCTCAAACCTCCTTTAACATTTTAAAGAGGTCTTAAAATACCCAATGCAATACCCATTTGATTTCTTGACTGCTGCTTCCATGAGTGTTGATTGTTGATCAAGGCAAAATGAAATCCTTGAAAATTTCAATATTTCTCCATTTATCTTGATGTTGCTTATTGGTCCTGTTGTGAAGATTTGTTTTCTTTATGTTGAGGTGCAATTCTTACTGAAGGTTGTAGTCTTTGATTTTCATCAATAAGTGCTTCAAGTCCTCTTCACTTTCAACAAGAAAGGTTGTGTCATCTGCACAGCACAGATTGTTAATAAGTGTGCCTCCAGTCCTGATGCCATACTCTTCTCCATATAGTCCAACTTCTCAGATTATTTGCTCAGCATGCAGATTGAATAAGTATAGTAAAAGGATACAACTCTGACACACACCTTTCTTGATTTTAAACCATGTGTAATTCGGTTCGAATGACAGCCTCCTGGTCTATGTACAGGTTCCTCATGAGCATAATTAAGTGTTCTGGAATTACCATTCTTTGCAATGTTATCCATAATTAGTCATGATCCACATAGTCGAATGCCTTGGCATAGTCAATAAAACATGTAAACATCTTTCTGGAATTCTTTGCTTTCAGTCAAGATCCATCTGACATCAGCAGTGATATCCTTCAATCCATACCCTCTTCTGAATCTGATTTGAATTTCTGGCAGTTCTCTGTCAAACTCCGTTACCTCTTAAATTTCATTTGCATCATATATCCCTTAGAAATTCTGAGCACATTTTATAAGATTTTACTCTAAGACATACAAACATCCAATTATTAGAGTTTACATTATCATAATAGCCAAAGCAAAAATTAAGTGAGGAACCCAATTTAGATTTTAAATTCTGGGCATATAATTTTGTGATAGTATATGTTGTTGTTGTTGTTTTGTGCCATCAATTTATATGTATTTGCAAAAGACCTTTCTACATGCAATGCAAGACTAGAAAACAAACTAACCTTATATCCTGAGGTTAATATAGACAGAAAATTATAAATTAAGCCATAAAAATGGAAATATATTTTCCTCTAAATTCAAGAACCAGTTTGACATGTTTTGGAATTCAAGGGAAAAGAACATTGAGTTGATGATTAAAAAAATATGGGTTATAGTCTCTGCTTTGTGAACGTTATCTGAGAAGGCTTTAGTTTCTTCTTCTCTAAAAGAAAAGTTTGCATAAAATAGACTCAGAAGGTTTGTAATTAGACTTATTTTGTGCTTTTATTTCTCTTCTCCCCTCTTGCCAGTTCCCCAGAATATCTGCTTTGTTTGCATGCTTTATTTTCTCAACAAGTATTTTTTGGCACTATCTTCCAGGAAGTTAGCTAGGGTCTAGAAACACAGGGATTTAGAAAGAATATGGTTCTCGTCACATGAACCTTGAGTTTAGTGTGGAGGACAGAGTTTCAACAATCAGAAATGCTATACGTTGTAACGAATGTTAAGGAGGAAAACCTCACTATGTCTGCAGCTATCATATTAAACCAAAACAGTTGCCATTGCTGTCCAACTCCTGGCGACCCCATGGACATTAGAGCAGGACTGTATTCCCTGATGTTTTCAGTGGCTGGTTTCTTAGAAGTACGTCACTAGGCCTTTCTTCTGAGGAAACTCTGGGTGGCCCTGAACAGCCAGCTTTTACGTGAGCACCCAGGTGTGTCAACTGTTTGTACCCAAAACTCCTGGAGGTTATGATAAACCCACTGCCATCCAGTGGATCCTGACTCATAATGACCCCCATAGAGTTTCCAAAGTGTAACTCTTTATGGAAGCAGACTGCCTCATCTTGCTTCTGCAGAGCAGCTGATGGGTTCAAACTACTGACCTTTTGGTTAGCAACCAATGCCTTAATTAACCACAGCCCCATGAGAGCTCCTTGGAGGTTATAATTGATGACCTAATTTAGATTGGTGGCACCAAGGAGGCCACAGTGAAGAAGTGATATTTAAAGTGAGGAGCAGAAGGAGGGCATCCCAGTCTTCCAGTGGGATGGAGTGCCATGTGGAATAGTCCTGAAATGCAATGTTGGGCAAGTTCAAGGACCTGTAAGGAAAAGGATGTGGTAGAGCATAGTGAGTGATGACACTTACAATGGACATCTGCTTTAAAAGAAAATTAAAACGCTTCTAACACATGCAAAATAATACCTAATCAGAAGGCTGGCAGTTCAAACCCACCAGCCCCTCCTTGGGAGGAAGACTGGGCAATCTCCTTCCCTAGAGATACCGTCCCAGAAACCCAGGAAGGGGTCGCTATGAGTCGGAATCAACTCGACGGCAGTGAATTTGGGTTTTTTTTGTTTTTGTTTTTTGTTTTCTGTTTTTTTTTTTTTTTTTTTTAATACTTTTAAGAGAAGCTCTAGTGGCGCAGTGCCTAAGGTATTTGACCGATAACCAGAAGGTTGGTTGTTCAAAGCCACCAGCCACTGCGCAGAAGGAAGATGGGGCAATCTAATTATGTAAGATTTACCACCTCAGAAACCAAATGGGGGTTGCTATGAATTGGAATCAACTCGATGGCAGTGAGTTTGGTTTGAGGTTAATACTTACAGTGCTATGTGCCAGCCACTGTTCCAAATGCATTCTGATTATTAACTCATCTCATCAATGACATTTATTATTATCCCCATCTTACAGACAGCAAAGTGGATCCTGAGTTTAAATAATGCACACAAGTCCAGCCTGCACAAGAAAGTTTCTATATGCACTCTCTAGAAAAGGCATATCTGGGATTCTAACCCACACAACCTATGCCAGGGTCTATGCTCTGAACTTCTGTAATACTCTTGGCCTCACTCCCAAGAGAGGGCAGAGACCCTGAGTTCTTTACATTTCAAGTTGCTGTACAGGCAAATCATGCACTGATGTTTCCAGAGCTTTCCCTACTCTTACATTTTCACACAGACTCAACGGAAGAATCCCAGGCACCAGTCAGATGTAAATGCCATGTACTAGCAATGTACTAACCTACTGCTTGCCTAGGTTTGGCCGGCAAGTCAAGGATGGCCATGGGATGCAATTAGCAAGTAGGATTCTTTTTAATCAAACATTCATTGAATTCAGAAATGGAATCCCACACTAAGCAGGAAAGTGAACGTGAAAATAAGAATATTGTATTATACTTTTCTCACCTCATGTTTTACTGTGTTTGAATAGAAGGTGATTCATGGAAAGGTTTACCTAGAAAATTACAAAATTAAGAGCTTAATAACTTTTAAAATCTAAATACCTATTTCTTGATTACAAAGTAAAGCCTTCTAATTTTGAAAAAATGTAGGTAATACTAAAAGTTTGATAACAGGCTAAATATAACCTTTAATCCTACCAACAAGAGATGACAATTAGATCATTTTGGTAGTCACATTTACAGCCTTGCTTAAAGGAATCAGACAAAAGGCTTACCAGGCGTTATGGATACAGCAGAAAGGAATGTTAAGGTTGGGAAGCGTTCTCTGGTCAGAAGCGCGTCTGTGCAGCCTAAGGAGGTCTCATGGTGGCAGCTGGAGGCGTTCACAGCCTGCAGAGACTGTGGATCCAGGCACCCAGACTATCCCTGGCGGCCTCTCAGGACTGGGGAGCCACTTACAGTGTTAGCGTTACTGTTGTATAGGAACTCAGCCTTGCTTGCTTCAAAACTCACAAATCAGACATTTTATTACTTTATGGCGACACTTTTATTTAATGGATTTTGTTTTGTTTTTTGACAAGGTGGTCAGAGAAAGCCTGTCTGAAACCTGAAGGAAGAGTAGATGTTAAGCAAGTGAGGAGCAGGGGAACAGTATGTCTAGCATACAGCACAGCACATGCAAAGGCCCTGAGGTGGGAAACAAGGTTAAGGAACTGAAAGAAGACTACAATGTGAAGCTAAGGTGGCATGTGTGAGGCAGAGGGTGACATCATATGCGATGAGACGAGTTAGAAGGGGCAATGTCATGGAAATGAGTAAAATGCTTTCCCAGCGTAAAGAGAAAGCACACAAAATTCCAACTCTCAGTTCTTGGTCTCCTTCACCTCCTCTCTTCAAACCTGTGCCCTGTCCACACCATTGCTGTAGCTGACATCCGCACCCAGCAGACACCCATTATTACCTGATCATCCCACTGCCAGTCTCAACCGATCCAACCCATCCTTCCATTGCTGTCCATGGATCTTTCTAAAAGAGAAAGCTGATCCTATCTCTTCAAAGTGAAACCTCTTGATTGCCACAAATAAAGAGTAGGTCTCAAATCTTTAATGGAGGAGATGAGCCCCTTCCGGGTCTGGCTTCTGCCCCCTTTGTAGCCTCGGTCCTTTTACTGTTCCACACACACTCTTGGCTCACACATATCAAAGTGCTCTAGTATCCCCTCCCACCTATAATGTCAAATAAATGGGTGATTTCCCCTATGTTTCACTACCTTCTTTGCTCATGATTTTTATTTGTTATTAATGTCCACCTACTCCCAAAGAAAGGAGCCCTGGTGATGCAACCGTTAAGCATGCAGCTGCTACCAGAAAGGCTGGTGGTGTGAACCCATGCAGTGGCTCCATGGAAGTAGAGACCTGGCAATCTGCTTCTATAAGAATTATAGCCTAGGAAACCCTATGGAGCAGTTCTACTGTGTCATATAGGATCATTATGAGTCACAAGTGACTCAACAGTACACAGCTACGTTAACCAAAAACAAAACCCACTGCCGTCCAGTCAATTCCGACTCATAGTGACCCCCCACTGGGTTTCTGAGGCAGTAAATCTTTACAGAAGTAGATTGCCCAGTCTTGCTTCTGACAGCAATAAGAGCACTCCCAAAATATATATTATATTTTTTTTTTTTTTCTGAAAGCCTATCTTGCTCATAAAGCTGTGATTTTTTTAATTCTAAGTAAAATAATCAGTGTCCTTGGAATCCCGTCTTCTCCTTCAGTAATTCCACTGCTCTACTTGTCTTTGCCTCCTCCCTCCTGGCCAGGTGATCAGAGTTAAGGTGGAGATATAATTTAATGGCTAGAAAAAGGAAAAGAGTTTGAGGACCTTCCAACTGCCTGAGCATGTTGTTGTTGTTATGTGCCCTCAAGTATGTGCTAATATGGGGAAGCCCAGAATTGTCCCTGGCAGCTAGCTCATTAAAGAGGGCATGTGCTTTCTGCCTGGGTCTCCCAGTGTCAGCCAGGAGGAAGGGTGTGGCCCTGACCCAGGTGCTCCCACCAGCACTGCTGCATCTGGAGGGTTCCCCAAACCTGTTGTAGAACAAAGTGACAGACAAATTTCTTTCTCTGGGTTTTAGCAGTGATTTACTTATCTTCTTTATTTTTTTAATTATACAGGCTTTTAAACTTACCCCAATAGCTGCTAGGATTGGAGCTTGATAAATCCACTTAACGTCTCCAGCACTAAGTTCCCAGCACCTGAGACATAAAAAGGACTTTCATAAATAAGTCGGCAAAGCAAATAGGCAGTGAAAATTAAGTAGCATTTTCAGTTTTACCAAACACTCTAAATCACAAACTTCTGATTAAGAAACAAATAGCCAAGCAAAATCTTAAAAACTCCAACTATAGGGGAAAAAAATTTTGTAATGGATCCTCATTTCCATACAATTAGGTAGCCTTTGGGGATAAGCTGCTGTTGTTAGGTGCCCTCAAGTCAGACGTGACTCCTAGCAACCTCGGTACAACAGAATGAAACACTGCCCAAACCTGCATTCACCTCCTAAGCCTTGCTGTGCTTGAGCCCACTGTTGCAGCCACTGTGTCAATCTATCTCACTGAGGGTCTCATTGGGAATAAGTAGAGTGTTATAAATACTAGTGAGTAATATTTACATTGGCAAAAGTCAAAGCATCTCCAGAGTCACAAAAAATTTTAGTTTTGTAAACATGGGGCCATGGGAGGAAGATATGGCAGGGTGCTTCCATTGACTTACAGCCTTGGAAACCCTATGGGGCAGTTCTACTCTGTCCTATAGGGTCACAACTCAATGGCAGTAGTTTGTTTGTTTGTTTGTTTTAATTGTTTGGCTGAAAGCTGATCACCAGGAATGGGTTTGATTCTAAGTTTGAAGGGGATGTCTAAAGGCCAGGGGTCTTAGGGGTTCCACCAGTCTCCATCAAACCAGTAAGTCTGGTCTTTTTATGATTTTGAATTTTGTTCTACATATGTTTCCCACCCTGCACATCATTGTGATCCCTGCCAGAGAAGTTGTAGTGGTAGTCGGGCACCACCTAGTTCTTCTGGTCTCGGGCCAGTGCAGGCTGTCGTTCATGTGGTCCATTAGTCCTTTGGACTAATTGCTTCCTTGAGTCATTGGTTTTCTTCACTCTTCTTTGCTCCGGATGGGAAAAGACAAATAGTTGTATCTCAGACGGTTGATACTAAATTTTGTTATCACTGGAATAAGACATAATTATTAAACCTTGATAGAGCAAGACCTCTCACTTTCAGATATTACAGCAATTCTTATTTATAACTCAGTAAGTTGTAGAACAATAATGCAAATGATTTTTATCCATAGAAATGCAAATTAGCTGTGTCCAGGGGATGTAACTGAATAGTGCCCTGTAGATACTGAACAGTACTTGCATTTACTTATAAATTTCTTTCACTGCATATTAACATGTTATTGTTTGATTTTTACTTTAAACTGGTTATAGCATCTTACTGGTTCCCTCATTAATTCATGGGTTAAAAAAATCTTTGACGGTGTTCATTTCATAGTTGAATGACATTGATGATTTCATCTTTAATTTTAAAAAGTTGTTGTCAGTATTATATTTATTTTCTGCTTCCTCCTGCCCCAACTTGAATGTAAGTTCTATGCATAGATCATTGTTATTTTTGTTCTTTGATGTACTACATGTGTCTGTAACAGTACATAGCATGTAGAGACTCAGTAAATATTTGTTGAATTAAATTGATTTGAATTGAATTGAAGGTAAATTTAACTTAACTTCAATCAATCTGGCCTGTACTAGTCTTGTTGTGTTGTTGTTAGGTGCCATCGAGTCATCTACAACTCATAGCAACCTTATGTACAACAGAATGAAACACTGCCCAGTCCTGTGCCAGCCTCACAATCCTTGCTATACCTGAGCCCATGATTGCAGCCACTGTGTTGATCCATCTCGTTGAGGGCCTTCCTCTTTTTTGTTGACCCTCTCCTTCAACGAGCATGACATCCTTCCCCAGGGAATGGTCCTTTCTGACAACATGACTGAAGTAGGTGAGACGAAGTCTGGCCATTCTCGCTTCCAAGGAGCATTCCAGCTGTACTTCGTCCAGGACAGATCTGTTAGGTCTTTGAGCAGTCCATGGTACTTTTAGTATTCTTCGCCAACACCACAACTCAAAAGCATCAACTCTTCTTCAGTCTTCCTTATTCATTGTCCAGCCCTCACATGCATATGAGGAAATTGAAAATACCATGGCTTGGGTTCAACTCACAGGAACTCTGGTGGCGTAGTGCCTAAGGCATTTGACTGCTAACCAGAAGGCTGGCGGTTCAAACCCACCAGCCACTCCTTGGAAGGAAGGTTGGGCAATCTACTTCCATAGTGATACCACAGAAACCCACGGAGGGGTTGCTATAAAAATCAAACCCACTGCTGTGGAGTCGGATCCAACTCATAACGACCCCTCCTTGGGTTTCCAAGGCAGTATCACTACAGAAGTAGATTGCCCAGTCTTCCTTTCGAGGAGTGGCTGATGGGTTTGAACCACCAGCCTTCTGGTTAGCAGTTAAGTGCCTTAGACACTACACCACCAGAGCTCCCAAGAGATTGCTATAGGCTCACCATAATCTTTGTGGAGACATCTTTGCTCTTCAGCAATTAAACGAGGTCTTTTGCAGAAGATTTGCCCAATGCAATATGTTTTTTAATGTCTTGACTCCTGCTTCCATTGGTGTTGATTATAGAATAAAGTAGTATGAAGTCTTGGGCAACTTCAATCTTTTCTCCGTTTATCATGATGCTCCTTATGGTCCAGTTGTGAGGATTTTTGTTTTCTTTATATTGAGGTGGAATTCATACTGCAGACTGTAGTCTTCAATCTTCATCAGTAAGCACCTCAAGTCATCCTCACTTTCAGCAAACAAAGTTGTGTCATCTGTGTATCGCAGGTTGTTAATGATTCTTCCTCCAATCTTGATGCCACATTCTTCTTCATGTAGTCCAGCTTCTCTGATTATTTGCTCAGCAGACAGATTGAAGAAGTATGGTGAAGAGATACAACACTGACACACTCTCCTTCTGATTTTGAACCTTATTTTAAATCCTCTTATTCTGTTTCAACGACAGCCTCCTAGTCTATGTACAGGTCTTCATGATTACAATTAAGTGCTCTGAAATTCCCATTCTTCTCAATGTTATCCATAACTTGTTATGATCCACACAATCAAATGCTTTTGCACAGTCAGTAATACACTATAATAAATAACACATAGTTAATTAAAGCTAGTTTCACAGAAACTTTAATGTATCATTTTATACAATTTTTTAAATTAAAGCTTTTCATATCTTTCTCCTTGAATAAAGCTCAGCATTGTTTATGGTGGGAACAATAAATTATATGAATAAATTTTAGGGATATAATGATACTTCTTTAATTCTAGATAATAAACTTACCAAGAAGTTACTTTTTATTAATGAGCAGGTTGATTTAAAAAGTTATTTCAAATAATTCCTGAAGGTGAAACATTTTCCATAAGTATATAATGATGACATCTTTGTAAAGTGTAATACATTCTCATTTCAAAAATGCAAACTACAAAAAAGACACACATTGAGCACATCAACTCTACTGATACTCCTATGTAACTCTGCCCCTGCCTGTCTCCTCACAGGCAACCTCTTTTATTACATTATTATGTACTTTTCCAATGTTTCTTTATGCATAAAGATAAATGTCATATTCTTATTTTCTCCTATCTCACAAAAAATGTAATTTATACACTGTTCTACAACTTGGGTTGTTTTTTTTCCCCCTTTAATGATATATTTTATATGTCTTTGAACATAAGTATCAAGAGACCTCAGTACCACAGCCTTCTATACCACAGTTAATTCATCAGTTCCCTGCATCAAAGTGTAATTCTAGTCAACCCAATTGAAATCTGCCAAGTCAGTGGACATGAAGTCTGAATAACATGAAATCTGAGACAGAGAAATTTTACATATGCACATCATTGGACATTTCCTAGCATTGTATACAAGCATTTTTTTCCACCTTACTCAGCCAGACAAGAAAGATAAAAGATAGTGTTACTGCAGCTGCATAGAACTCCTCTAAAGAAGGTTTCCATTATAAGGAAGCTGGTAAATATTGTGTGAATATATATGGAACATTGATCCACCAGCTACAAATCTTTCAGATTCCATAAATTTTCTTTCAGGTTTTTAACATTTTGATAATATCGTCACAATCTTCTATTTGCCTCAGTGACATTTCATCATGGTGCCTCCTAGTACACTGGGTCTCAATTATACAATTCCAGCTCTAAAAAATACTCATACTTGGGAGCAGGTCAAAAACAGCAATAGCTGAAAACATGAAAAACTTGACTCCAATGGTTTTCAGTGTCAAAATTTTTAATAAGCCCTTTAATGTAAGACAGGCATGTAAGATTTTAGACTGTTTTAAGAAAATGCTCCTAATTCTTGTTTTTTCATGAATTTTCAAAACCCTAACTAAAACTATTTTTGTGGACATGGCCCAAAAACTACTCTTTGTTCCTATTTAAAAAAATAAATTTAACACTGTGTGAAATACAAGTATGAGTGTCAGTGAGAATGTAGATCTAGAATATGGAGCATGAGGTACAGAGGTTTAATCTGGAAGTAGAAGTTCCCACAGCCAGGGCTGGCAAATCGAACAGCATTGTTCTGCCAGAGACTGAGGGAACTGTGTCAACTAAAAATTGGGCTGTCTCCACAACTCACAGCAGATAAGGGGAGAAGAGGAAGTCACAGACAGCTGGCCCTACAACCCCTCAGATGTTTGTAGCAGTGTTAGAGGATATTTTTTCTTTGTTCTTTCCATTGAAGGCCCCACCATTACTGCTGGATGGTGAAACAACAGTATAACAAAGAAACCATGGATTTTCCCACTCATTAGCATCTTCATAACTCCATTGAATAAGGCCAAGAAGAAGATAATAAGGTATTGTAAAGTATTTTTTGCTTTTGTAAATAAGTTTATTTATCCAACCTAAACTACTCAATTATCTTAGCCTACTTTGGTAAAATAACACTCTTGATAGATTTTTAGAGATACAAGAGACTTCTTTCAATAGATTTCAGTAGAATTCAATAGAGTTTAGAATAACTTTTAAAACTAGATCTGATCTGCTTATTATCACATGGCCAAGAAGCAGAGAAATTGGAGTTCTGGTTTTGAAAGTCCAGATCAGA